CTGACAACCTCCCTCCCTGTCCCAGGCCAGACGGCAGAGCCACGTCTTCAAATCCCTCCAAAAGGCCTGGAGTGAGGGGGCCTGTCTCACCTCCGGGTGCAAGATGTTCCAAAGGGCAGGGGCTACAGCAGAGAAGGCCCGCCTTCTGGACCCCGCTAATTGGAGTTCTTTTGCCGAGGGGGTCTGGAGCATGCCCCCTCTGTGAGATCGGGTGGGACGGGATGAAATCGTGAGGGTGAGGCGGTCCCTCAGGTAGCCTGGGCCCATGGCATGTAGGGCTTTAAAAGTGATAGCCAACACCTTGAATTGGATCCAGAAGCAAACCAGTACCCAATGCAGCTCACGGAGCAAAGGTGTTATATGGGTCCTTCTTTGGACCCCAAAAATCGCTCACGCGACTGCATTCTGGACCAGCTGAAGCTTCCAGATACTCTTCAAGGGTAGCCCCATGTAGAACACATTGCAGTAATCCTCCTGGTTCTATTTTTCCTTCAATATTTCATCACTTCCTATATCCGTTTATAACTTTTTTTTCCCCAAAGGACTATTGCTTCTATGGACTATTATGTAAACTATGTTTCAGTCTTGCAGTATTCCTGGTAAGAATGGTTTCAGGGTCCAACTGTATGGATGGGTGGACCTTGTCTGCCTGCTTGCAAGTGCAAAGTGCAAACCAGCTACATCTCCTTGCAGAGCTATGAAAAGTAGGATGCTGCTGAGAAGGAAAGGAAATAAACATCAACCAGCAGAATCAAGTCCAGAAAAGGGTTAATTGCTAACTCTGGGAATCTACAAAGCAGAGTGCTCAAAGTTCACTTGGGCAGAAAACCTCAGCAGGGAAGAAATTATTGACTTTCTTACTGAAAAGTGACTTGAGATGTGCAAGCACAAAAATGTAAGCCTGTCTACAAGCACTATATATTTTTAAATTTTAAATTTCACTGTTGCGCAATTCTGAGCATTGAAGAAAATTACTGGACTTTTTAAAAGTGGTAGCAGCTAGAATCCCCTAAGGCAATGTTCTGTTATAATAAAAAGCATGTGGCCTTTCTAATGCATTCTGCTTCTCGTACATCTCGTACATCATCATTTTGGTGCTTGCCTCAATTTCAGGTTTTTTATATACAGATTAGAAGTGTATTTATTGTGTGTGTCTTCTAAAGAGCAACTGAATTTTCAGGAAATACTGGGAATGAGGTTCCTCGCAGTCGCATAGATCCTGCCTATGCTAGTGATTTCTGAATAGCTAATAGTTCACTTCCTTTATGGTTTTGTGAAAATGCCTTGGACTGGACTCCCAGTAGGGTGTTTCTTTCTATACTCACCTCTCCAGTTTACTGGTATGGCTGATTCCTTCCTCTGCTAAAGAGCTCTGGATACTGCTGTCTTCTGAATGGTTTGCCAATTGCACTTTCTGAAATGAAACAAGAATAGATTGCAGCCTGGCCTTGATCAAAGAGATGTTCAAAAAGACCTGTACACATAATACAGAGTAAACTGAGCTGTGTGTAAATATAAACCTACCCATCTCAAAGTGTTTTTCATATCTAGTAATGTCTCACAGCACTTCCGGGTCTGCTGGCTTGGCATTCTTATGCAACTGACTTCACACACATAGAACTCTTCTACAACTGCATAGCTTGTTTAGAATTCATGTAAACAAGGTAAATCTGGAAGTTGCTATTTTTAATAGAAAGTGGCTACAATAGCAGTTTCAAGCTAAGCAGATTTAGGCATGCTTTTGCCAATTTTCTGGGTTGAATTGATCCGTCTTGCCCACATTTCCCATGAGCTGTCACTGTACATTTTTATAAGTGAATGTTGGGGAGGAACACAATATTCAGGAATATGCAGCATGCCCCTTGAACCTCCAATTCCTAAATAATCCTTAGTAGTCTGAAGACCAAACAGAACAAATACACTTTAACTAAACATTAAATTAAGAGATTATCTTCTTTGATTTATGGGCCACAGGTTCTCCTCTGCAGTTCTGTGCTGTTTGCTACTGCATGTTGTCTGCTAGGAATTCTGCAGAAGCAGGCAATCAAAGAGCATTATAGACAGCAGAAAGCAAGATGATGCAGCATTAGCTATGCTAGTATATTCATACCTTTCCTTATTGACCTAAGTAGTTAACAGTGTTGATCTTTAGGGAGGTGATCTTAAAAGATTAAATCTCTTGCCAAATATTACACTGTTTAAAAGATAGAGAAGGCTATTTGTGAAATCAAAAACCATTATGTGGCAACACACAAGATTTGCCAAAATTAGGTCTAGCAATGGCACCAAGACCCAGCCTGCATCATGATATGGTAGAATCTTTCCTGGTTTTTGTGCAGACTCCCATTGTGCAGCTTTAGGAGCTTCATGTGACTCTTTTCAGTTTGGATTTGTTCTATTGTCTTCTTTTACATCACCGTATGGGCATCTCTCTATGGACATATGCGTATGTTCCCCTAGATTTGGATTACACAGCCTTGTGGATCTGGATGTGCCTAAGAACAGTCTTTCCCAAGACTGGCTCCCAAGATATCATTTCTGTCATTGCTAGCCATTGGCCGTGGTGTGATCTAACATCAGGTCTATATTCTGTTTTGCTGCTATATAATCTGTTTTAGATAATTCTATACTGCTTTCATTAGTTTTGGCTTAAAACTATTACATGCTGAGAAGTCCTGTTTTAGAAAAATCTTTCTTACCGGAAAAAAATTGGGGAGAAGAAACTTCTTGGGAGGACTTGGAATATTTGCTTCCCATTCCTTTTTCATGCTGCAGTGAAAGCATACATTTAATTTAGGCAACAACCAGGATTCCACCTGCCCCTGTTCAACCAGCACCAAAACCTCACATTTATTTTTGCAGTTGCCACACAAAAGCAATAGTGAATGGGCAGTCAAGCCCCCACTCCACATTCATTGACAGCCAGCTGCAGCTTTTGCTGCCATTCTTCTTATCTTAGGAAAATTCCTTTGGTTTAAATTAGGGTGCTACAAAGACATCTCCTATCATTCTTTCAAATAGCCATATTGGCTGGAGCTGCTGGGAGATGGAATCCATCAAAATCTGGAGGACCTAGGTCCTGCTCCAAATCTTGGAGCTGAGCTCAGCAGGAAACAAAATGCAAATGGAAGGAATGATATGAACCAAGTAATCAGGAGTCAGGTCCAAAATGGAAAAGGACAATATTTGGCCTGTGTTCTAGGAGTCCTTAACCCCACCAGAAAGCTTCACTTCATCATCTCAAATGAGAAACAACCTCCAGTTGATTGCATCTGTACCTCATCTGTTTCCATTTTCTCGTCACTATAAAAATTACTATATAATGTTAAGAACTGGCATTTGACTTGGCTTTTTTATCTGCCTCCTCCTGCCTTTATACCTTTTGTGTTGTGCCTTCACAATTGTTGTAAACCTGTGGGCAGGGATTGCCATGCTTAGTCTTCAAACCCTAGTTAATATATTTGAGGTGCTTTTAAGCAGGTGCTTATACAGTATCATAATGATGCTCTTGTTTTCCAGGGGAAAACCGCAGCTTTCTTTTATTTCCCAACGTAATAAAACCAGGCTTTTTAAAGAATGACCACCAAATGAAGGTCTTTCTCTTATTATTTATCAAATGATGAGCTGCTCTTGTGTAAAAACGTCTTGAGGGATATTGACAGAGCTCATTAGATGACACAGGTTGGCCTATACAGCAGGGCATGCAAGCTGTTTGGGGCTGGGGTTGCCTGTGGCCTTTGAGGGGCATGTTGGGGGTCTCCCTCCAAAAGGTGGGCAAGGGCAAGGCAAAAACTGGATTGAATTGGATTGGAGGAAGAAATGGCAGACTGAAGACGGCTCCACAAAAAGTGGAGCCAATGACCACAGCGAAGAACAAAGAGTTGGTAAGTAGACTGGCCCTTCAGAACTTCTCCGGACAAGGAGAGGACAGGGGATTGCCCACATGCACTCACGAGGAAACTGCAAGACAGCACTCCCTGGCAGGTTTTGAGCACTGGGAGATGACAGGAATAACCATCTTGCTTGCAACTGCAGTTGGTACCTTTTAAAGGACACTAACTTCCTTTTCTGATCACATTTGGAAATTGTTTGTTAATTACTTTTAAGCTATTAGTGACCTTCAGATCAACAAGTCTGAAAACACTGGGTGAGTTTGCCTTCAATGAAAGAAGGCAATGAAAGAAAATTTTAATCATAAGCTGAAGAATGTTTAAAAAATGAAACAAACAGCCAAAAAACTAAATAAGACTTTGAGAACTAACACATTTGTAAAGAACTTTAGATCAGTCTTTCATAAATGTAGCCTCTCACCCACCAAAAAACGTTCAATGGAGTTCTGATGTCTCAGAAATCCAGGAAGTTTTGAATGAAACCAGCATTTGTTGGAGGAGAAATTATGCAGAGAAATTATACAATATTAGTGAGTCTGACATTTGTGAGGATGAATGGATTGAAGAAAATGATCCTGGATGTCATGGGATAGCTTATTGCCCAAGGTGATTATGTACCTACTTATATAAATAGGTTACCTGGGCCAAGTGACATTGCACAATCTAAGCCAAAAAAGTCTTATATAGCCAGTGCTAAAATAATTCCCAGCAAAAAATATGGCAAATCAGGGTAACATTTAAATCCCAGCCTGGTACAAACTGAACCCCTGATTGGAACACAGCACACTGAAAAGGATGTGTTTTGTGTTGCTTGTCACAATTTCATTGCAAAGGATGCAGGTAGTAGTGTACAGCTACTGGAAGAAGACTACAGAGAATTATTTAGACCTGAGGTTGCATAATGGAAGTATAGTTCGCAAAGACTTCATGGTGGCTTGGGAGAACTACAGAAAAACTCAGAGAGGCAAAGAAGGCTCAGTTTAGCCCAATTATGTCATGTTCAAAAAAAGAATCCTACAAAAAAATAGACATTACATTGTCTCTCTAGCAGAAACTCTTAGGTTTACTCTAAACAAAATTTGCTGGTTTCAGACATGGGGAAAGTGATGAGATAATGACAATAGAGTACTTTTATTTGATCTCTTGTACCTAGTTGCAAACCACGATCCCAGAATTCAGTCTAGATAGTTTACCTTACAAATTTCTAAAACCACCACTCCAAGCAGCCTTGGGACCTTTGACTATATAGTGTGGCAGTTTTCATATAGTGGTTGAAATTGCCTTCAAAATTTGCTATCTCCAACCTAGCACTTTCCAGATGCATTAGCACTACAACCCCCAGAATATCCAGCTAGAATTCTGGAACTTGTCTCAGCATATCTAACAGATTGAGGAAGGTCACCCTAAGACTTGAGTTAAGGGAGGAGCACTCTTAGCATAGCCCCTTGCTACCTTCCCAACTCCACTATGCCAAGGTATTAAAATGCACATCAGGCATACCTGAGAAGATATTTTTGACAAAAGCAGATTCCTGCCATCATCAGAATGATAAAGATCACTGTTATTGGCACGATAGTCCAGAGAGGAAAAGCTAAAACAGAACAGAGGATAAAAAAGGGAAAGGTTAAAAAATCAACTAAATGAACAATTAAAGCAAGTTTTAGAAAAAAACAACCAGATCAGATCATAGTACAGTGTGGCATTATATTCCAAGTGGGGCTGCTTTTGAAGATGCTTTAGAACAGTGTTTCTCAACCTTGACAACTTGAAGAGGTGTGGACTTCTACTCCCAGAATTCCCCAG